TAAAATCCACTAAATAGGTAAGCTTTAACTAAAGCAGAAGTTTGAACTGCTAGAGTGACAGAGCACGCTCTGAACCGCGTGAGAGAAATGCTACATCATCCAACGTTTGCCTGTGTAGCTGGAGATAGGCAAATAGGAGCTACAGAGGGTATCGGAAGTAGGGGTCACTAACAGCATGAATTAAAACGAAATCCAATCAAAACAGTAAAAATAAGCAAAGGAAGCAATTATGAACCATCCTAACAATGAATTATGAAACTACCAGAACAAAATGTTTCAGTAAACTACTGGAAAAGGAGGCAAAAGCCACCCTGCCATAAAGGAAACGAGTCAGTGCAGATTTTGGATGGGCTGCAGAATGTCTCTGCCTGTGCAGCAGATCTCATATACGAGATCTGCCTCTGCCTCAGATCCATACCAAGGGACTAGCACCAGTGCAAGTTCCATACCTGTACCCAAGAGCTATTAAAGTAGTTGCCTAGCTGGGCTAAAGCATCCTTTTTTTTTTTTTTCTTTTAAACTAAAACCCAGGATATTTAGTATTTTTTATATTCCTTCATGTCTATAACAAGTTGGATTCTACCTACCATTTTCCTTAGTTGTACAATGCAAACCTCAAACTTTAGAATCTATTAAGCAGAACACTATCATCTCTGATTTTTTTTAGGTAAATAACTCACTGTTATTTCTTGCTGAAAATTCTGAGCAAACAGCCTCTGAAATAAGTTCTTCTGTACACAGCCTTTACTCTGACATAAAACATAGTTGCAAAGGGGTTACTGACCTATCTGCCCTAATTTGGACCAGACATGGTGAACTATTTAAGTACTTGTGTATTCATGTCCCTTGTCTGTGAGATGTGTTAGTCATATTGCCTTTGACCTATTTTCACGAACAGTGATTCCTCTGCTACTGAGCATCACGACTCTGCCAGCCCCGTGACTACAAGCTATGAATTGACAAAAATAGTGCCGAGCCTTAGGGCTCTTTATTTGCAAGTTCTGGTTTCCATATTGAGGGAAGAGGGAGAGATAATACACCACAGTTTGCCCAGATGGGTAACAATACAGGTTCATGAATGATTAAAATCCACATGCTGTAAAACTCACCTTCGCTATCTCTCTGCTGATGCATTAAATTAAAATCAATAATAGGAGAAATGAAGTGATACTGGTCTGACAAAAAGAATGACAAAAATAGAATTACATGATATGGCAGGTGATCTCACACAATACAGACATAGGAAGTAAAGAGCATAAATTTCCTTGAAAAAAACCCCCAAAAACCAGATTTAAACAAAAAATAAAAGAATCAGGATTCTTAAAACCTGTCTGAAAAGCAAGACTCCCTCTCAGAAAAACAGAATGTTATAGCCATTAATTTCCGTTCTTTTGACAGGTATCACCCCTTTTTACATTACACAGCATTTGCATCAGGAAATGGTGCTTTGCATTAGCTCTGCACTGTTTCCTAGAAAACTACAAATCTGATATTAAACTGCAAGTCACAAGGCTTTTCTGTAATTGCAGATGAGAACACATCGTGACACGATCGCTTACCTCCACAACTGGCCCCATCAGCTTGCACACTGGTTTGGACTGACGAAGGGGCTGGGTCCTTGGGTGCCGGCAGCTGAGGAGTTTCTTCCTGGGTTGGCAGAAACGCAGAGCACAGATCGGTTTCAAGGGCTTGTAGCTTCAACAAAGAATTCTGCAGACAAAAGCAGAACATTGGGCTAGATGGAGAACAACAGAATACGGCGACAGCTCTTCAACTCACTGAGCCCATTAGCAGCGCCTGCAAAGGGGTGTTCCACTAGCAGCTCCGAGAGGACGTGCAAGAGAACAAACGTGCACTATTCCACGAGTTTCCTGACTTCTGGTTATTTAAGTCCCAATTTACATGGATTATTCATGACACGTGGGAAAGATGACTTTGTCAGCAAAAGACAATTTATTCTAGGAAGCCAAACAGAGATGGTGTCCCTTTTCTTGGTCTTGAAGCAATACCGTAAGCAAGTATTTCATTCATTGGGCTGACATCACAATCTGATGACATTATGTCCCTCCCCATTTACCATTCATAAAAAAACAAATCTCCCTCTCCAGCCTATTGTGCAGTATGCAGCAGTGAACAAAAAGAGTTACTGAGAACACGCTCCCTCATGGGATTCTTGGAAGAGATATTTTTAATTGGCTTTTTTAGAGATACTTCTTTATGTATCTCTAAAAATAGAGATTTTTATGTCTACATCTTCTTTATGTCGACATAGCTTTTATGTAGGCTGCTGCTTCTACAGGGCAAGCAGATCATTTCCTATCTGCTGCAAAGGTAAAATTAACAGATCATTGTCACTTGCTGCAGACAAATCAATGAGGACAAGGCTAGTTATCTATAACATCACTTCCAGCCACTGTGCCACGCTTGGTCCATTTCTCATTTTAACCTTCAATGCTGCATGCAATATTCAGCTGTACAATCTGACACAAGCGTCTTGCTGTGATGTAAATGCTGTGAAAGCCCTAATCACCATCTGACTGGGCAAAATGAGTCACTACTGATATCCCACACATTCAGTTCCCCTCTCTCAAGGGAAATACAGCTTGCAACACAAAAAAAAAAAAAATCACACAAGGCTGTCTTAATAAGCACACAGCTGGCACACACAAAATGATATGTAAAATGTTAAGTCACTCAGATGGTACATATTTATGAAGTGCAATTTGGGGGGGGGGGGGGGGGGAGGATCTGACTTGCAACAGAAAAAAAAAATTCCTCAAGTTTATACCCTGAAAAGCTCCTTTCCCCACACTGTCAAAGACCTGAAACCAATCTATTGATTCATTTAATGAAATAATGAATTTATTTTGTGGAGTAATTTCCTTTGTGTAACAATATGTCACCTATACAGTAAGTAGTTTAGTATGTCTTTGTGTTATTAAAATTGTAATACGGCCCTTTTATAAACCCAAGGATGTCAGTATTTTTAGGTAAAATAAAAATAAAAAAAGGAAACTAATCTGGCTGAGAACAGCAGGGAAGATTTCAGCCTTTATCCTTTCATTCCTTTTATAGAATTCAGGCAGTGAAAAGGAAGCAGAAAGTAGCTCTTTCTAGGAGATACCTCAAAATAGGGAAGTTTCAAAAAAGCACAAGGTCACCGTAACTAGATCCTGTGACCCCTATGTGCTGTCATGCCAATCTGATGACATTATATCCCTTCCCGAAATCGATATCCCCTTCCACAAAACAGATTAGGTTACAGTCAAGCACTTAGACTTTGGCCTCAGCTTAGGTAAAAAAGGAAATCTAGGAACACCTTCCCTCTCCTGGTCCCAGAGCAAACAGGAGCTCTTGCTATTCCTGTCAGAAGCAGCCTGATAGGAGACACGTGAGCAAAGAAACGGCTTGCTTTATACATTTATTTTAGAATTAAGTTCCTCTCCCCTGTTGTCACGATACATTTTGACATTTCATCCTATAACACCAGGAAAGAACTGATTGCAAGATCAAGCACTGATTCACAATGAAATGCCTAAATGTAATAGTATCCTTTAAAAATATGGCATGATGTAGAGCTGGTTTCTACCATCTGAGGCTGAAGATACTTCTACTATTCCCAGGTACAGGTTGCATTAACAACCTACTCCAGCCCAGCTGCCTTTTGTAAGGGTAATTTAGTCATCTTGACCAGCAATGCCTCATCTTCACACCTCAGTTTCTCCAGGACTCTTGAATGATTGGCATCTTTTCCTTGTCACTTACTCACACTGTTTGGTCCAATATTTTACATATATTACTTCAAACTAATCTGGATCCTTTGACCTATCTGCTAGAAAGAGTATACCAGGTGTGCATATGTCCCCAACATGGGCTTTATCAGTGAAGACCAATATAACAAATTTACTCGGCCTCTCTTTACAGCCGAATCACCTTAGTGCCCATTTTACATCTCAGCCAGCCAGCAGTCCCAGCAATACCCTACCTGGCTTCCTGCTTTTGGTGTGTTTAGTAGACTTCTTACCATCAATTTGAGCATCTTTGATGAGTCACTTTCAAAGTGTTCTTTAATCCTCTACAGGGCTTTCTTGAACTAGAGGCAGAATGATGGAAACCATCTCGCCTTCAACATCTTTCAAGTAGCAGTGAATTTTCCTTGTCAAGGGAAGAGTGCTGACTTGAATCGTACCCACAGCACTGTTTTGGGAAGAGTTTTCATGACATGACAGGCCTCATTTTCCACTGCCTCTCACCCCAGCTAGACCCAAATGAAGTGACTGTGGAATTACCACAACAGACGGGCAGCATTCTACAGTCATTAATGTCATCAAGCAGAAGACAACTATACCAGTTACAGACCAGTAAGGGGACTGATCCCAGCCCAGACCTTATCACTGCTGATGGCGAGTAAGGAAAACATAGGCAAACATACCAGAAAAACATACCAACAAGGTGTGCACAGGCAAATAACCGACAAATAGACCTAAGCTTCACAGCTACTTCAAGCATTTGACAAAAATTTCCCATATCAAGAAAACACATTCACTTTACATCACTATTTCTTACGAGACATTAATATTTATGGCAAGTTCAGCACACAAGCATTCACACAGACTACATTGTTTAACATTGTATTTTGGCAATGCTTATGCTGTAATTCACCAGCTGGTTTATATTCAGTTGCTCTAAATTGTATTTTTCACCCATCTGTGGAAGGTGGGTGGATGGCAAATTTCCAGTCACTGCCAAATACTAAAAAAAAGTCATATAATAACAACAGAAATATCTTGTATGATTTCTTGAATGTGTCCTTGACAGGGATTTGATGTAGGAAGAGAAAGAGTAAGTAGCTTTGATCATTTTGATGTTACCAAGGGAGATGATGAATCTAGAGTATGCCATCAACCTCATCTTACTCCTAAAACACAGATGAGTACTATGGTACTGCCACAGCGCACTATACATGGAAAGCCACCACATATTCATGGGAACACGTGTAAGGAGACGTAGCTTTAAGCAAAGGCCAAGCACAAAGCTGCCCAGGGTCATCAACTCATGGGCAACAGGAGCATTCTAGGAAGTGGTAGGGGTGACCTTGTGGCCTGCCCTGCCACGTGTCCTGTCCTGCCCCTCTCAAAAGTCTGCTTGAAGTATCGGCAATGCCAGAGCAGCCAGGCTGGATCCTGCCAGCCTCAGACCTCCTGCTTTGTGGCAGAAGCAGTGCAGCACCCTGTTTCTGCAACTGCAGCCCAAGCAGAGCAAGAAGGTGCTCTGGGAGAGGACACATGGCCATATCTATCAGCAACTGGTCCTCTATCTTTGGACTTGCTGGGGGTAGGCCAACATGCTACCAGCTGCCAGCAAAAGGAAGGCAAGAAGAGAGAAAAATAAAGTCTTAGCCCTGTCTTCATCTTCTCAAACCACCCAAGTTCATATTTAAAATGGATCCCGAAGTTTCTTTGGAAAAATAACCATATTGTTGTCTCTGAAGAATAGTATTTTGCAAGTTTGAAAAAGAAGCTATTACAATTGTCTTGGACAAAGGTTTCTTATCTCTTCTCATGTCCTCTTAAAGGAACTGACAATTCAAAGAACTTGAGCTATACCAATTCCACTAAAAGGAAAAAAAAAATCCTGCATTATTCCAGATCAAAGATAATGAAAAAATAAAGACATTTACAGGAAGTCCGAGGAAAACAAAGAGAGAAAGTGTGGTATTTCTCTCCTATTTGTAACTTTTGCTAATGCTTTAAGAAAACATAGTCATTGAAGTATCATACTCTTGCCTGCTGGAGAAAACATAGTACAAAAGGATTGCCATTTGTAGAGGAAGCTCAGCCTGTAACAAAAAAACCATCTTTACAAACAAGCCTGTAGACTGTACCCCACTGACCACCTTCTTTCTTTCCAATGATTATTAAAAATCAAGAGTTGAGGCCTTAGGGCAAGGAATTATTGAGATGATAGATAACCTCTTAAATCTGGAGATAAATATCACACACCTACACTCACACTGCTAAATCCCTCTAGAGAACGGGACACTGAATGAACAAATACTCCCAATTTATCACCAAAATGCTGTGGCAATGAGTAGGAGTCTCCTGAAACAGCTTATAAACTTTTTCAGTAGGTGCCACCAGTAACTCCCTCTCCAGGTGGAGGTCCCTGCAGGACCAGCGCCATGTGACATACTGGCCAGCACATACAGAGGGCCGTAGCCTGATGGGAGGCAGTGTGCCAAATGGAGCCCCGCAGCCCTGCACCCTCCCTTATTGCACCAAGAGCTACAGCACTGCCAAACCTGTTCATCAGTCAGTGCTCACTGCATATCCACAGAGAGAGCAGATAGCTAGCAATGGCCAAAAGAGAGACACTGCTGTTAGAAGTAATTCCTTTACCTGAAAAAGCATTACTATTATCAGCATCCTTTGTTTCATCCTTGTGGACATCCTAAGGTCTGGTAAATTTAAGAACCGCGGGAAGAGGGAAAGGGAACAGGTCTGCCCTACTCATGGACCCTGCCTGGTCTCAGCTTGAAGGCTGAGAGGGAGAAGGGAGGGGAAGCAAAGCCCAGACTCGGTGCTTTCTGCATGAACTGAAACTACCCTGCTGTGCACATGGTGTTCTGAATACCAAGGATGCCTGCACCCCGCCCCTGGGCCTGCTCCTGCCCCTCCAGGACAGGAAGGCAGCTACTCTATCCAGTTTACTGATGGATTTACTGGATTTATGAAATCAGCTGGGGCAGTGAAGGAGAATAAGCCAAGCTTTCAGTATTTAATGGCCTTTGAAGTGATTCATATAGAAAAGAAACTAAGCAAATATCAACCTGTTCAATTTCTTCCATTTAAGGAAATTAATGCTTTTGTATGTCACATTAGTACAGTGACGTACAAAAGCATCTCCTTTGCTTTTTAATCCGAGAGTTCAGGTTAAAGTAAGATAGCCGTATTTTATGTGAACGTAAATAACACTCTGCAGTATCTGTTATGGCAATATTTGTGTCTTGAGGCATATGACATTTTCAATTCAGAACTTTCTTTATGGGGAGCAAACAAGCAACAATAAGATAGAACAAGATATGCCCAAGGTCTGTGTAATGCCATGGGTGAGCAGTGAGGAGAGACGCCACTTTCTCTAATCCAAGAAAGGAATTTATTTTATGACGACACATGTCCATTTGGGTTTGCAGGAGATTTGAGACACAATACAAACTAAGATTTTGCAAAAGAAAGCATCAGAATGTAACCCTTGCTCATTCCCCATAAATTGTTAGCAATTGATTTTAATGCCTGATCTAATTATCTGTTTTAATATCTTATACTGATTTTATTTATTATAGTATTTTATCTTAACCTTTAAGGAGTCCTTTGCAAGAATTTTAAATTGACGCTTTTAAGTAGAAGCTTTGGTGATTATTTGCAATGGAGCTTCTCAAAAGAAACAGTAACTTCATGATTCTTCACAGGGCCTTAACTGGCTAGACAGAGGCTGAGTATATTCCGTTATATTGGTCATGGAATGTGCCTTACAAGTTAGCACTTACATTTTCAACAGTGAGCTGCACAGCAATGACACAAATGCACAGGAAATAATTCATTGTAAGGAGAAGATTAAGTCTGAATTTCTTTAAAGGGACACATTGTGGCTTTCCCCTAATGAAAGTCAGGCATCTATTAATAGACACAGATGTTCTCTGGCTCATTATGGAAACAAAGCTGTTTTTTCCATGGTTTGAAAGGAATGGGCTTCCCTTCTCCCCAACTTCTGTCATTCTGTTGTCTTGGTTTACACTTAGAAATATTGTCGGCTCTTTGTTTAAGTCCAGTATTGTTCACTGCCCTTGCAGTACGTAAGCATACTCTATGTTAGCATGCAGGCACCCTCGTTTGTGGGAGATGCTTTACAAGGTTTCCCACTTTGAATAACTGCAAAGCTTGGTTTTGGCCTCCAGCATACTTCTGATTGTGAGAATCTAGACCAGGCTCACCCATTGTTTGACATGACCACACAAACAGCTCCTTTGTGCTCTACTCTCACACTATCCTCCTGCCATAATCCCTGTGAAAACAGCTCTTTTCAAGTGTCACAGGTGTTATTTGGCTTCCCTTGCTTCCTCTCTTCACTCCAACCCTTCCCTCCTCCCATCTTACACAAAGAGTAGCTTTTAGACTACATTGTAGTTTATTTATGCAGGATGTAGCAACCTTGAGAACTCTTTATTTTTAAACAAAACATAACTGATAGCTGAACACATCTGAGCTGTAACATGAGGAAAAAATCAAAAGTTCTTAAAAGATGGCATTTCACTCAGTCAATATTGAATGTTTAATTCTTTTCTGAGCACAAACAGAAAGCAGCATAAAGTTGGTTTAAAATCTTTTAAAAATCTCTTGCTTCCAGCTTTTAAACTATTATAGCAGTCTCGTATCACATTTTTAAGCTTTCTTCCAAAAACATGACTAGAATGATTCATTAAAAAGCTAACCTAAGATTCTCAAGTGATTACATTATTCCAAGACCTTAGAATTAAAAAAACCCGAACAGGTAATACAAAATCTGTGATATCATATTTCAACTTTTGGTTAAGCTTACCTCATTGAAGCTGTTAAATTGCTCAGTTGTTTCTTTTGGTGAAATGCATGAGTTCTGATCTATTCTACAAAACAAAACAAGAATTTTCACTCAACAGATTGCTTATCTGTGCTGCAAATATTTCAAACTTTTCATCACATCTGTACATAAATTACAAGTTATTGTATGAAGTGGTTTCATTAAAAAAATAACATTTCTATGAAAGTTACATCTGTATTTTATACCTCATTCAAAACAACAGTGACTTTACTGGAATCCTAAATAATATATTTAAACTGTGAACGAGGTCCTGGAAATTATGACATTAAAATCCAGGCTCACTCTGTCACAAAAAAAGTCCTACAGAAGCATGATTAGTTCTCAGTATCTTGGTAAGCTAATAGGGTTAAAGCCAGGAAAAAGCTCAAACATATGTTTAAATCTAAGCACAATTTGTCCCACATGCTTTAAGTCAGGAACAACAGTTTTCCTCTATCAAAGCTATAAAGAATAAATCTTTCCATATTTAAACTTGATGCTATTTCAGGCTCTCAATCTTCAACTTTCTGCTTGAGTTCTGTTTTGCAAATTTCACAAAGACCCAAGGGACTCTCATGAGGAGCTGGAAATCCTTAGAGTAAGAGAGATGTCTACATTTTCTAATGAGTGTCACTCTGCAGCCATTAGAGACGGCCATACCTTTGATTTTCCCTCAGTGTATTACTGCTTCTCCACATGGAAATATTATTAATATTTAATTAATTATTAATATAATTAATATTGCCTGGACTGGCAAGGGGAAAATCTCTTCCCTCTGACTATAGCTAATGAGACAACTGTGCCCCATCCAGGCAGATGTGGCCATGGCCTTGGGCTCCACACACCTACCAGCTTACAAATTCACTCTGCCAAGGAACGAAACTGAAGCCTAACAAAAACCTCCCATAGATTAGATGAGCATGTTGAATAGCCTCATACCACAGCTCTGTCCTTCTCCAAAGCAAACAGAGGCTTTCCACACTCAGCTTCAAAGCCTGACACGGGTGTATCACAAGTTGACTTGCAACTCGGCTGAAGCAAGAAAACTATTGCTCTCTCAGAGAATGAGATTTCTCATTGCTTAAAAGGTGGAAACGTTTGTGGGCCCCTGCGAGACTCACTCACAGACATGATCAAAACTAACACAGATTTCTGTGTGTTAGTTCCGATTCCTATGAAAATAATTTGTATTTTCAACCTATTGCGCTCAAGAGTCATCCGAGCAAAACCAAATAGTTTTTAAAGTCTCTGGAGACCTCAAAAACAGTAGAGACAGATGAAGAGGCCTTTGCTGTAGTTCTTCATAGATTTACGAGGCATTTAAAGACTCAAGTGATGGATATGCCACTTTCCTTATCAAAATAGACATATTAGACAGCTACACGAGGGTGAACAACTGCTTGCCTCCAAACAGGATCCAAGGCGTGCAATTCACATAGGAACAAAAATGAGTCATTTTTTTGGTGGTACATCTAGCACCAGAATGGGAGGTCTCGCAGGCCAGCCAGCCCGCACGTCCCTCAAGATACACAGGTACATATTCAGAAGGGAGTGATTTCTGGAGGTACTTGAGCAGCAAGGTGCCTTGGCTAGCTGTTATACAAGCACCTATACACATCTCTAGGTAGCTCTCCACATATATATTCTTTCTGCTATCTCACCTGAAAATGAATAGTAAATGTCTCCATAATGTGAAGAGAACAGAAGGAAAATGGAATTACAGAAGGAAGAAGGTTAATGCCTAACAACCAGTCTCTAGCTTTTAGGCAGCAAAGATGACAGTATAAGGCAGCAGAAGAGAGTTAAAGAAAACTGAGAAAAAGCACAGGGAAAGCAAAAGGACTAATTTAATAGGAAAGAGTGAAATGTTTATGGTTTGGATTAATAATATGTAAAGGACCTGCAAGGCCACAAACAGCTGAAGAATTAATTCACTCATGAAGAAAAAAGTATTTAGAGTGATTTATTGCCTTGAACTAGAGCTAGACATACAGGAAAGGAAGAAAAGGACACATGTCAGATTTGTACACGTCTAGTATTCATTTGGATGACTCCCTTTCAGGGTGCGTAACACAGCAAATGTGAACTCTCCTTAAAAAAAAACCCAAAACATCAAAAAACTAAATGCTTACAGGTGCCATATGAAGGTCTACGTAATTCACAGCTGTATCACTCATAAGTCTTGCACTCTGGAGAGTAAAAAGTTTACAGCACCTCTGAAGTACCACCTCTCTCTCATTCAGGATTATGTCCTTGCCTGCTGCTTTAGGGATGCAGAAATCTTGCATTTTATTGTTTCTTTTTCACTAAAAATACTGGAGTAAAATGCTCTTAGTTTTGCCTTCTTTGGATTCTGAAGATACTGAAATCATTAAGGTGAGTTAACCATTTTCGTGTGAAGACCATTTACATTAAGAGTCATATATGTATGCTGAGCTGATCATACTCTATATATAGAGTTTTGGGGTATGCTTTTTTGTTTTCACCAAGATTAACTGCTCAGCTAGGCAAATGCAGGTTATCTGATTGTCGCCAGGCAACAAAGGGCTTACCATTTAATATCTATGGGTTGGATCCTACTCTCATTAGAAGTCAATTATGAAATATCCATTAACTTCAAAAGCAGCAGGAACAAGCCCTAATTTTCCATCTGTGCTGAGTACATTAAAATTATTTTAAGCCTTAGCTGAAATTTTGAATAATTGCAGGCAACCCTTATTTTGTATAATTTACATTATATAAAATAACGAAAATGCAATTCTCTCTGTGGCTATTACTCAAATCTATGTTATATCATTCTACGTAAAACATGAAAGGCCTGATCTCTGACCCTCCCTATAGGTTGGCAACTCTAGGCAGAATTATCCTGTTCTGCATAGCACAGATGACAAAGATGTAACCCAGTAACATGTACATTTGAAGCTTGTGGACATAACAAAAAAAACCAAACCCTCTAAATACTATTTATCGTAACAGAGCTTCTACCAGACTTCAAGGGGAAGATCAATTTGCATGAGCAGTGAGCTGTTTAAAAAACCGACCAGAACATGTGAATTATTGAATTATGCATGATAACACTTCTAAATTCACATAAAATTCAAACCAACCCACATAATTTTAAAAACTAGGAAAATGTCTTAAGATAACCTAAGAAAATTCACTTGTTACTTCCCAGACTAAACCCAAAAAGGAGTATTACACCCTGTAATTTGCAAGTCTCAATCCAGTCCAACCCCAGATTACACTAACTAGATCCTCAGGAGACTTACGTGTTTATGCACCACAATGCCACACATGCTCAGTGTCTTGGGCAAATTAATGTATTAGTGATGCCAGGATAAATCCTGGCAAGCAAACCACGTGCTACTGTGGGATGAAACCACTTTTCCAGATTTGCTTTCAGTCCATCCTGGCCCAATACTCCTTTCCCTGCCTCCAGTCTAGCAATCAGTTTTACCCTTCCCACTGTGTCGGTGACCCACCAGGTTAACAGCTCAGAAAGGGTAGTCTCAGCACCGCAACAGAGGACTAGTTCAGCTTATCCAGAGGTTACATCACGCAAGATCACAGAAAGGTGGACCCCGCAGCCGGCACACCTCAGTGCCAGGAAAACAAAAAGGTCCTCTCTGAGACCTCCACAAATGGCAAAAAGCATTATGAAATTCAAACACAGACGCCTCCTTAATACAGGGCTGCATATGAATGTTTCAAAAGCATGCCTGGGAAGGGCAAAGCAATACAGAACTGCAACAGGCTTTTGGACGAACATAAAGTGCGCACTTGCAGTGAAAGAAACAACACTGTTAAGGGCCCGAGGCTGCTGGGATACATCCTAGGCTACTCCTTGGGCAGTCCCTGAATGCTGGAATAAGCAGCCACCCAGAGAGGCAGTGCCTGTCTCATCAATCACAGCAGTTAGGCTGGCTGTGGACGACCACACTTGTTTTTCTTATCATTAGCACCTCTTGTACTCACCAGGCACCGTCCTTACTTGGGCTATAGTAAGATGAGGGGGTTTTTGCCTTTCTGTCCTCTCCCCACCCTGCCTTTTTTGACTTTTTTCTTTCCTTTTTTTTTTTTTTTTTTTTTCTTTTTCTTTAAGTGTATTGCAATCCAAGAGCTTTGGGTTGTATCTTGTATCCAATGATATAAGAAGTATCATTGGAACCATAAACACCAATATTTTAATATCAAGATTCCTAAGAAATTGTTCTTAGGAACTGGTCTGTCACTTCCCAGCAAAGCAATGTTTCATCAGCAAATTCTGATTTGCTGACAGAGAGCTATTTGCAGACACATACCGCTCATGATGAATTTGAGCCAGGTCTGAGGCAGGACTTGGAGGGAATCTAGCCAAGTTTTCTCCCTGCTCACCTGGCCGCCTGTGCAGGAACGCAGCCTCACAAGTTCTGCCTCACGCGCACAGGTCTGCCATATGGCACAGGGACATCAGCACTTCTGCATCTTCCCTCCCTCACACACCCCTGAGTCGTAGCTGTTCAGATGAAAGTGTGGAAACTATAAGAGTCTCCCCTGAACTGCACTCTCAAAAACTACTTGCCTTGAAAACTTAAAAATACTGAAAGCCTCACTAGAGCTTGGTCTCCCTCTGAGGAGCACAGAAACCCTGGGAGAATTTGGCTGAGGCCAAGATCCAGGGCAGCCCAGGGCTCCTGGCATTTCCAATTTTCCTGGACAGCAGTCACAGATCCGGCAGCAGCTGCCACCTTAAAGCCTCTGCAGAAAGTAGGGACCAACCCAGTGACCATCTGAGTCCTCCTAAATAAAACCACTCCACTCAATATTTCATTTGGGGAATGGGGAAGAGAGGTAACTTTCAGGAATTTTTCTTTGGCAGAAAACTTCACCCCAAAGTGTAGTTCCCACACTGACTTGGAATGCAACTTTCTCTGAAACACTGACATTCCCACTGCCCAAGAGTCCTACATTTCACCCCCTCTCTGTGTAACAGGCATCTGAAGAAAACACCATCCACTATTCAGGTAACTGCGTACACAGTTCTGCAATCCACATTGGTTTTGCTGACTGCCTTTGAGAAGGCAATTGGGAAGAGCAGCTTTTTGTAATCATATGTATTGTTCCATACTGGCTTTCCTATTCTCTGTTAAAAAAAAGGCAATTCTCTTTATTGTAACATTTGTTCCTGGGGCCTGAATATAACTTTTATCTCCCAAAGGTGCAGATTACATTACACTCTTACCCAAACCCAACTACAGACAATGACTAGACCAGTATTCAATGTAACCACTAGCAACAGTATTAGAAATTCTTGTTCTTGTAATAAAATGTAAAGGTTTCCTTCCATGCAGATGGCATTTTATATTCTAAATTGATGCTGATGTTCATAAATCATGCATGATAAACACCTCTTGAAATTAAAATCCTTGATTCACAGGTCAGGTATATCTTAGCCAAGGACAAGACTGTATTCCCTCATTCTTCTGACTGTAAACCTCTTCACCAAGTCTATTCTTCCATTTCCCTCAAATCCCACTAAAACTTTTCCTTCACTGTTTCAGCAGTTATCATAAAATGAAAGTACCCCCCCAAACCCCAATCAACACATATACTTATGAGTCATATTGCTGTAGATTTTTTTCTCTTGTATTGCCTGTTCTGTTTTTCTCTGCCACGCATCTGTTTATGAACATCCCTTGTTAGGTTACCCTGAATTCAGATTGCTCTGCTTAACAGGGACTGTACTGGAAAGATTTTCATATCTCAGTGGTTTTTAATCTATATCTAGACAAATTAAAACTATCCTGTTTTTAGATGCCCCATACTCACTGGAACAGATTTTTTAAAGAACTCTGTACCGTTCAGAGGCATCTAGACCTTTAAATTCCATGAGACTAATGACAGAACTATAGCATTCTGCAGAAACTAAATTAAAGCATAAGTAACAACTAGAAATAATCAACCTTGCTGCTTAGTGCAAGACAGAAATAAATTCATCTTCTCCTATCATCCCCACACACATCTGATAGACAAAGGAGCCTGCCCAGTGGCACACTGCAGCAGTGTGGCCATCTCCTCTTCTCCAAAAGACCAGAAAGCTTTTGGTCTACGAGTTAGGGACCCTAGGCAGATATAGCGTTCCAAAGTATTGCTCATTTTGCCAGTAATCTAGCAAAAACAGGGTGGAAGATAGTGAAACCTCATGACAAGACAGACATTGAGGTGCTGGAGCGTGTCCAGAGAAGGGCAATGAAGCTGGTGAGGGGTCTGGAGCACAAGTCTTACGAGGAGCGGCTGAGGGAACTGGGGTTGTTCAGTCTGGAGAAGAGAAGGCTGAGGAGGGAGACCGTATCGCTCTCTACAACTACTTGAAAGGTGTTTGTAGCAGGGTGCGTGTTAGACTCTTCTCCCAAGTAACAAGTGACAGGACGAGAGGAAACGGCCTCAAGTTGTACCAGGAGAGGTTTAGATTGGATATTAGGAAAAATTTCTTCACCAAAAGGGTTGTCAAGCATTGGAACAGAATGCCCAGAGAAGGGGTTGAGTCACCATCCCTGGAGGTTTTTAAAAGACATGTAGATGTCGTGCTTAGGGACATGGTTTAATGGTGGCCTTGGCAGTACTAGGTTAACAGTTGGGACTCGATGATCTTAAAAATCTTTTCCAACCTAAACGATCTATGATTCTAAACTCAAGTTTTGTGGTGCTAGCAGATGTGTTCTGTCAAAATCTAGCTCTGATTGCTGCCCGCTACCAAGACTGAATACATAACCTTTGCCATGTCCCAGAGCAGAGAAGGCAGAAAACAATTCAAAGCGTCACTGGCAGCTATGTTTCACAGTCTGCTGCATGAGCCAGCAACCCGCACGAGCCAAGACATGGGCATGCAACTGCTCTGGCCCTATCAAAGCTGACAGACTGCAGAGGGATGGGGCAAGCTGCTGGTGACCCTTTAAGAGAAGTCACCAGACACAGTGACCCTCAAACTGAAAGTAGTAACTTCAGCATATGTAATTCAAAGTCCCCTGCCCAGCTAGGTGGTGGGAATGTTTTTTCCAAGGACAGTTAAGTCAGTTGAAGTAAATAAAGTGTGTGTGAGAACCATGCATTAATGCTTGTTTACTTCATCTTTGAAGTTCCTTACTTGAGAGTAAAGTCGCCTCCATCTTGTAATATAATGAAACTAAGAAATGGCGAGAGTTGAGTTTGATCACTATGCTTTCACAGCTCTTAGCATGGTAAATCCAGGTACCATTATTTAACAGATTTAGCACTTGTGGATAGCAGGTTTCCTAAGTAGCTACCCTGGTGTTAAACAGGAATAAATAGCAGAGTGAACAATGGTTTAATACCAGGCAAACTAAAACCGACAAACTCTTGAAGTGGACAGTGGAACTTTGTTGTAGTTGCTGTTTTATTCATGCACACTCTACTCAGGTTCTTATCTTTAAAAAAGTCCATGTTTCTTTTGTCATGTTCATCAATCAAAATTAACCAATGTTATTTCACTATCTACCCATACACAGACGTCCTACCAGCACAGCCACTAGGTAGGTCTAGCTCTCCTATACCAACCTCACTTTCTTCATAAGAAATCCACATGATTTTTTCCTAGCATAAAGAACGCCAGAAAAAGAGAAGGCAAGCTTCCTAGGCTGGGGCTAATTAGAAACACTTTCTGAGGTGCAGGACTTTGCAGTGTCTCAGTTGCAGACACAAACACTGGAAGGTGAAAGCAGTTTGTGAACGCTAATTAAATGCTTGGTCATTCTGCTAAAGCTTCCTTTGAGAGCACAACTTAGTATCATTTACAATGCTGCCTATTAAAAGCTGTGGTGAAGGCAACCAGTTCATTTCACATAAAGCACCAAATTGCCACTGGATGGCAACTGTCACTACTAACCTAGTCCTGACTTGAAACAGAACGTGGAGGCAATGAGCTCTGTATTGTCCACTAGCTGTGTCCTGACCCACTGAGCGTTCCTGGGATGTACAGTTGCTGCTCTGGTCCCTCCAAAATGAGCCAGAGCTTCTGCCAAACAGCACCAAGGCTGTTATGCACATTGAAGCAGAGAACAAAGAGCAGAGATGTGGTTCACCTGCCTGAAACTCTATGTGCACAGGAAAGCAGGCTAAATCAACACCTGAGCATGGGAAATTGGTAAAGTAGTGCCCCAAAAACTGATGGCTCTGAAGAGCATGATCTTATTGACACAATCCAAGCCTGTCAGTAAGAGCTAAAACTTAGCCTTAGGACACACCCTTACTGATAGATTGGGTCAGTTGGGCAAGTTGAAAACCCATTTCTAGCCTTTTGCACAGCCATGAAGGATCAGAGGAGGAACTGTGAATTCCAATAGTTACCAGAGCTGAGTTACTTCATGATCAGCTGAGTTAACCTAACATCAAGGCTCAGCTAATGCCTGACCTGAACACCCTGTACCCTTCCCAGCATTGGAACAACCACAGCACCCAGGGTCTAAACTGTAGGTAAATGCATATGCATGCTAAAATCAGGTGTGTGGCTTCCCATTCCCGTTTCTCAGTAAGAACACAGCTCTGAGAAAGAATGCAGCAAATCAGCACTGGGGGAAAAAGAAAATAAGTGTCAAGATATTTCTGAAACTTGGCACAGAGGAATTGAAGTTTCTAAACTGAGGATGTTCTTCCTGCTTGAAAAGTAAGGGGTTTAAATAATGATGAAATTTGCATTATCTTCATCCCTTTCACTTTCTCCAAACAGTTCTAGGCATATAAATACAGAATACAACTGCCAATGGGAGCCAGGAATCTGAATATTTTATACAAAAGGCAGCAAATGAATTAACCTTTCCTAGAGTAAATCGGAAGTGAAATGCACTTGTCTTATCCCAAGGCTTACCTTGGTTGAAATTTCACAACTGCTTCCTGGCATCTGAAGGCCACGTTCTGTGCATAGTCATTAGCTGAGGATCCACCCTTCCCCTGCCAAACCGCAAGGCCCCCCAATGCACTTTCCAGCTCCTGCACAAAGGTGGGGGAAAAAAAAAAAAAAATTGAATGCCCTGTCAGTACCAATCAGGTTTAGCTGAATATTTTGCTTTAAGAAAAAACGAGCTCCATGAGACCAGATGCTGATTGCAATTCTTTGTTATTTTTTGGTAATAATGCTGAAACAACTGGAAAACACAGACTAGAAAAGGTTCTAAATAAAGTAGTATCTCTTTTCACTGTAAAACATTTTTGAAACCAAAGCAGACTGTAATGCATTTTCTCTTTATTAGTTATGTAACAGATGTCGGCTTCTGAGCTAAGAGGTGTTATACACAGAGTTCAGTATTTTTTTGCTTATGTATACATTCACATTTCATTTGAAATTATTTACTCATGTGTCAGTGATATTTTGTTACTAGGGCATCAGAAAAATTTTGGCAGACAGAAGCAAATGCAGTTCACTTAAGATTTGTATGGTTTGACCAGTTTCCTTTTTCCTTTTGCTCCTTCCCTTCCCTAGCATTAGCATAGCTTTATGAATAGAGTACTACTGCAGGAGGAGTGAAAGGCAATAAGGAAAAAAGTCACATCAGCCAACCTGCCACACAGAAAATAAAAAAGCCAATTTAGTCCAACAAATTGAGGAAGGGAATAGGAATTCAAAAGCTATGCATTTTACTCCAAGTTTTCGAAAACCAGTTGTAGGGCTGTGACAAGAGTGTTCAGCACATCTTCATCTCCTTACCTATAAAATGGGTTGTAATATTTCTATTCACTATTTAAGTTAATCAGTCAAAGAAAGTCAGTCCAGTTAAGGTGCAAAACCTGCATTAAAGCAGTAAACTTGCTTCAGCAGAAGTCTCTTCTGCAACAAATGCTCCTCTCCAGTATCAGCAGAGAGAACATGGCAATTCAAGATGCTTTCTGCTAGATGAAAGGGAAAGCTGAGGACTAGAATATATGCTGGTAGTAAGCACTCACTTGCAGGCTTCATGTTTGAGGATTCGGGTGGGTTTTGGTTGTGTTGTGGTTTTTTTTTTTTCTTTTTTTCTTTGTTATTGTTCATAAGTTATGTCATTAGGATGTCAAAGAGTAACCCTAGGGAAACACCCTTGATGGAACCTCTATTTCTTAAGACCAATGAAATCCATTCCTGATGTGTCAAAGGCATCCAACAGTATAGTGCTGTCTTTATTGCATTTTTTTCTTCTTCACTACAGAGAGTGAACCTTCTACAAACAGGCTGCATCTGGTAAGCAGTCTGTGAAGATGGAAATCTCCAGACATTGCTGAGAAGACTCAGGCCTGCATGATCACTACTATGATATCTGCTTTGTACACAGAATAATACATGGGTTTGGAAGCGGCCAAAAATTATCATCGATACACATGTTAAGATAGATCAGGTTGTGTTTCACAAGCTAGATTTTTAAAAAAAAAACTATTTTCCTTAAAAAAATCACAGCATATCATAACCCATCTCTGTCAGAGCATATGAATTACACTACAGGCATACAAACCTTTGCTGTGTTTATGCAGCAGCTTAATCTGCTCTTGAACTCCAGAAAGTGCCTTGCACCCTTCATATGCTTTAACCAACACATAAACACTTCCGTCTCTTCAAATGCAAGTGCCATGCAAATACTGTACCAGCATTTGGGATCACAGCCGTGGCATACTTCATGGTGCTGTGTCAATATAGGAAATAGCTAGGACTGAATCCTGAGCAGAAGTGTCTCCTAACCCTCCTGAAAATGCCAGTCCATACAAGAAAATAAGCAGGTACATTTAATGGACAGTGAATTGAACCGATTTAATCCACAATGGAAGGTATGGTTTAAACATAAACAGAGTATACCTAAAAAACTGAACTGGAACTTGCTGGCTGCATGACACATTCATGTGTTCATGCAGCTGATGTGTTAACACCGGCTCTGTTTTTTTTTTTTATTCCAGTGCATTTAAAACCACAATTTTAATGTCAAATTACTGCAAGTTCTTTGAAATCCATACAATTTTCCCACTTAATTTATACTCAAAATACAAAATTTCACACTGCAGTTTTCAGCATTCCCATCTCTAGGCATTGACTGTCAAGCCACCATTTCATTTTTATAGTCATTTACCTCGATAATATGACTTTAAAACTGAACTTTTACTGTCTCTACCTATTAGCTAGCATGTTAGTGTCAGTTTTATATGTCTCAGTATCAATAAGGAATTTGAGGATGACTCACTTAATAATCTATATTCACGACTGTGCATCAAAAGTGAGTGACAGGAGAAAGGATTAGGCAAGGAAAGCAAACTTCCCATTCCTCACCATCTGTTCTCACACTGACTCCCCAGAGTATGTTCTGAGCATATGTTTCCTCACCTCTTGAAGTCAAATAAATCCTAATTAATTTGCTTTTCTATAAATTAACATTGCAGATTTGCTAAAGAGGCTCATGAAACCATAGGATAGATGAAACCAAGTAGCTGGAGTACAGCAGTGTAATCATATTCCAGCAGCTGCCCTCTCTTCCCATACTTTGGAAAGGTTACAGCTGACCCCATACTCAGCTCCTGCCTCCAAAGAAAAAACTGCATGCAATATCCAAAGTACAGCTTTACTCTAGTGACATTTTATCAAGTGGTCAAGTGAAGTCACTTGGTACTGCACTTTTATTAGACTTGGTCCTGTTAATCATCACTGTAAATTTAATAACCTTTTCTTCATCAAGACCTACGGTACATGACCACAGTACTACACTTGTTTTAAAAAAAAAAAAACAAACCAGAGGCACAAGAATCACACTTCAGCAGACTCAGAACCTTGTGAAGCTCAAAATCCCCAAGTTGGCCAGCGCTGCTCTACTTGAACACAGAGGTCTGTTCCCTCTCAGTGACCTTTCTACAATGGAAATCCCCTGGATTCTCACTAGCAGAAAGGCACACAAAATTGGTTCCCATCCAAACAGACTTTAATCCTTCCAACACATGCAGCAAACTTATTTATCTCCCTATTCTGATTTTAAAGGGAACAATTTTCTAAAAAAGCAACTCATGGGCTTAGAAAACAGAGGAATGAGTAGCAAACATTTCCTTGGCTTGTCAGAGCAACACCTTTAAAAGAGATACTGTCACTGCAATACCGCTACTGTTTATTTCTGATGCTACAGAGAAGTCAGGCTGGGAAAGTGAGACGACTGTTGAAAAAGCACTCTACCATTAAACTCAGGAAAACAAGTTTAATCACCATGCACAGTGCATCATGCTTTTCTTTCATAAATGCATGTACTCAGATATTGCTGTTTGTCAGCTCAAAATCACCTGCTTGTAAGTACATCATTTATCTCATTGAGTGGCTTGGTGGCAAGGGTTTTCACAAAAGGAAGGTAAATGCAGTTGCATCAGTCTGGCCCACTTTTCCAGATAATAACAATCTGCCATGTACATATAAACAAAGCTACCAGAAACAACACAGCAGGACTTTGCTTTCAGCTTCAAAATGTAAAGAAGCAGTTGCTAACCAGTTCACGACTAGGGCTGCTAACACAGCTGCAACAGGGTTCAGGAGGTCATAACGCATCAAGGATGCCAATGAGAACACCCATACAGAAACAAACCCCTCACTGAGCTCTTCTGCAAGCAGAGCCTTGTTTTTCATAGGCACTTTCAACAAAGCCAGGAGCCAGATCCTTGCTTCAAGAACAAAAGCCCTTGAGGGAGCTGAAGATGCAGCAAGGCAAGCACTCAGGGTCAAGGAGCATGCACATCATTACTAATGAGAATGGAGGCTGTGTGGAATGAAGGGCTTGGTAGATGCTTTCTCCAAAACAGCTTCCTTGTGCAAATTGTTCCAAGAGGCAAACTCTTTCCTCTACAGCAAGCACCACTGAACTCAGGATAGGATATAGGATATCCACTGAAAAGGCTTTCACAGTACTAGGATACAATTCCCTCTATGAATGACTGGAGTTCCTGGTATGGAGGGATGTTTGCTTTGTGCTTATGTTTTATATTACACTCAAAGCTCTACACTAGCCCTCATCCCTCAAGTACTCCCATCAAATCAAAGATGGGATAAAATAGTGACTACGCATCTTACCTCTTCCAGTATGCCAGAGATGTCAGCAATGGGTAGTATGGGGGTTTAGGACCACTTTTGCCTTTCCTAATTTAAGCCCTTGAGTCATGTGACAGTTATCTGCCTGACACTGTTTTTCCTTCCAGAGGGTGCGTATCTAACTCGCACTGGTATTTTATGGCAGTCTAATTATATACTCAAAAAGTTTCCCATGAAAATATATCAACATTTTCATTTAACCACTTCAGGACATGTAAAATACCACAGAGCAGCAAATCTGTGCCGTGTTAGCTTTTACTGGGTGAGAGATAGAGGCAAGACATACACAGGGAGCAGGCAGATGGGAGACTCAGAAGTAGCTGAAAGAGATGATCTATGAGACAGGTCTTGCCCTGTTTATGACTTCTTCATGACTCCTCTTCCTGATACACCTCCGCTTGCCCTTCATAGGGCAAAATTTCCCATAATTTTTCTTATCTGCTGATAAACATACGCACCTCATCTCCCTGCAGCCTAAATAACATTTCGTAGTAACGTAATACAGTCACAAAAAAATCAGCAGTTATTACTTCATCTCAGGGATGAACTCCAGCAAAAATATGCAAGAAGGTGTCCTGGTTTCAGCCAGGGTAGAGTTTATTTTCTTCACAGAAGCTAGCGTGAGGCTATGTGGCTAAACCACGACAGAAGGTTAAGGCAAGAGTTGACATCTGATATTCTGAAAGAAACTGTGATAATACCATTATATTGCCATTTGTTTTTACTTTTTCCTCTGGGATTTGAAAGGCTATTCCTCACTTAAAAGGTAATGCAATCCAAAATGATGAATTCCCATTCTAAATGTGAAAAAAATAACCAAAATCATTCTTGGCCTACAATGGGTTCAAAGCACGTCAGAAAGCGCTCTTCAAATTTCCATCTACAAACAAGAAGAGATAGAAATAAAATACAGATATCTCTCAGGCCTTGTCCCTACTACAGGCCAACAATCTACCAACGTTAACATCAACTGTCTTGGTTATGAGCATATTTCTAACTGAGGGGCCAAACCTGGACCAGAGCTCTATCCCCTACAGTGCACATGAAACATGACTAGGGAAGCACCAGGGGAGAACAGAGGCACTTCCAGCAGCTGCTCGGAGGCTGTAACTCTGCAGTCTACGTAGCAATGTACCTCCACAAACAGCAGCAGAAGCTTCTTCATTTCTAGTCTTATTTTACAGCCTTTAGAAAAGTTACAGTTCTGCTCCCCTCAGGTCAACCTGGGGAAGCCTATGGGCAAGAGCACCAGTACTAGAATCTGCACTGGAATAGATTCTTCTGCAATACCGTGGCCGAAATAAATTGTTTGTCATTACAGGAGGGTTCCAGGGCTCCAGGCCCCTGAAAATCAGGGTAGATTTTTGTGGGGTCTCAGTCACGTCATGGATTACCAGGGAGTCCCACTTTGCGTTTCAAAATGTGTGTTTGCTCAGACACTGTGCCATAAACCTACCCTTGGTAAGTTTAGTTCTTTACCTGATTTTCCTCATGGCTTTTTCCATTTTCTAGTTTTGCAATGGGCTTAGGTTTTCTTAGCTTTAAGTTGCCCATTTCAGGCTTTAGAGCGTAGTCAATTACAGCCTGCTGCTTGTGCTGCTGAGTATCTTCCAAAGGCAGATGTCTTTCCTCTAAGACAGCAGCATTATCTGGATAATTTTCTTTGTTATCATCATCTCTGTAAGAAAATAAAATTGAAATGCATCAGGTAGGACTTTAGACACTTGTCAAAACATTATGAAGGAAGAACAGCAACAAGTTCTTAGCTATTCAGGGCATTTTAATTTTACCAAGCTGAGTAGTCTACACACCAAACACTGCATATGTTAGTAAAACGGATCTGAAAGGCTACTGTTTATTGTCAAATCACAAGCTAAACTATCGTTGGTATTGTATTACACATTCAACTGTAGAGCCATTTAAGTAAGACTAGTTTTAGAGGCATTCTTTGGCTTCAACCCTATAGTTCATATACCTCAAAATCTGAAACTTGCCCTGTCTAATGATTCACACTAGGTTATAATCTCACAAAAATGTTGTAACGTACAATAATTCTTCCCTTCTGACAGTCTCTGTTTTCGAGGGCCTTTGGACAAAGCAAGGGAGGCAGGAAGGCATACAAAGTAGGGTTTGAGCAGCCAGAGATGTGTTTGGGTGGAAGGGACAAGTATGCGCTCCCAGTTTGGAGAAAAGGTTTTCCTGTATAACAATACATCTGGTAGTTTAAACAGACACTGTTGCTCACAGATGCTCCGTTAAGCACTGAATCTGGGACAGGTATTCTTGAACTCCACTTAGCCTACCAACCTGTCTTAAGACGACCGTGCTAGTCTTATCCACACCCAATCAATCCAACCTTCGACTGGTCTAATGCTCCTGGGAGCATCTCCCTGGCACCATTAAGAAAGGTACCGCAATGCAAATGCAAGGCTGCCTGCTTAGTTGGCAGGATGAGAAGATCGGCATTACTGCTCTGAAATCCCTGGCTGTTGCTTAGTTTGCAGGTGGAATTTCAGATGCTAGCTTTAGCTGGTAAAATCCTAATGGTTAGCTGAGAGATGACCTCTCTCCTGGAGTGAAACTTCCACAACCGAGGAAATCAAGGACTACTGAATTAAACTCCCCAGAGATATTTTTAGAAAGCATAACTTGCTAATTCAGTGTTTTCTCCTAAGGATTCTGAACTGCTAAACCCACTTTCCATCTGTGGCCCATCAGCATCCAGATGGATGCTCACAGGGTGCCTATGGAGCTAAACACCATTGCTGCCCATGCCTTCTGTGAGTGTGCTCCAAGGCAGTTGTTATAGTTACAGGGTAGGGTACTTTATATCCTATGGGCATTTCAAGAACGTGCAGAGGTGTTGCTAATTTTAAGGTATCATCTGATTTAAAAATCTTTCTGAAAGGTTAAGTTGCATTCTCTAGCAATCAACATATACTAACATAGCCATGAGAGACACATGCCTCAAGAATATTTCAGTTAAATTACAACTTGAAGAACTTCTTTTCACAGAGACACTCATCAATGAGCATATCCTTGCACAGTTGCAAAACTCCATTTACTACTTTGTATCAGCTGCTGTACAGTAAAGTTCAATGTATTAGCATCAGAGCTGCATCTGAATGAAAGTAATGTTATGTGAAGTTAAGGACACAGACCATAATATATTTACTTATATAGTAACAACATTAATTAATCTTAATATTGTTTACACATAAGTATACAGATAAATATGCATTTCCCTGAAATACTAATAGCCTCAGCAGGTAATATCCCAGAAATCCTGCACTCCCTTGAGAATAAAGGTGTTTTTCTAGTTGTTTAACAGAAGCACTCTGAGCTTTTTTTATTGCCAACGGATTTCAGACAAAATTTGCAGAATACCTGGCGCTGGAACTGGCTGCTTGATCTTCATGTGCAGAGTCTGAATCCCCATCACACCTTGAAAATGGATACAAAACAATTGCTGATTTTTGGCCAGCTGCAGAAATTTAGCTGTTAATAACATGACAGTGCAGCTCAAAGTATAAACACATTTCTCCTTCTCACACTCTAGCTGGAGTCATTTAACGCCATAGCTGCTCTGTAATAGTCTAAATCTCAGAGGAAGAAGAGGATTTGAGTTGTTAAGTGTACATAATTTGGTATATAATTTTCAGCCAGACGGAAATAATCATCACAAAGAATTCAGATGTTACCATAAAAATTACAGGAAAATTAGAAGAAATTCTGTGTTTTAATTGCTTATTGTATAGTTCACATTAAAAAAAATAATTAGAAACAATCGGCTAAGGGTGTTTTTCTCCTAGACTCACAAAAATATTAACTATAGTAGGGTAGTCATTCTTTGTGCAGCAGGAAAAAGAATCCCCAAATAAAAGTGATTGTTAGTCTTAAAAAGTGAGCTAGCATAATTTTTTAAGATGCCTGAAGAATCATAAGCAATTACATCCCCTTAAGTTACAAACAACAGAATTGTCATAAGGCTGCCTAATCAAGAGAAGTCTTGATGAACATGCTAACGCAGTGTTGAATACTATATTGTGCAGCATGGCTGAACTTTGCAGAATGATGTAGCCGCGAAGCCTATGAGCAATCTTTCTTCAAATAAATGTACATATATATGCATACGCTCCTAAAAAAAAATATGCATACACCCTTTCTAGGTATTATTTCTGGGGAAAAGTCAGGGCCCTCGCCTCACCCTCTATTCATAGTCACAAGGCACAGGCACTCACCAGGCCTGGAAAACTTCAAGTTTGCTGGCAGAGGAATCTCTTCATTATGGGGGAAGCAGCCTGTACTTCTGCTGACTTCTTAAATTTTCAGAAGAGCTGCCCCACTTAGGGCAGAGCACATTAAGTGATAAATTCATAGCTCTGTGTTGCAATTTGATGGCAAGGTTTCTAATATATTCTAGTATCTTTATCAAAAGATAAAACTGCAGCAGAAAATATTTAAAGGGACACTCAAGTGTTTACAATTCCTGAATACATCAGTATACGGATGAAAGCATTTGCTGCTCACAAATGGAACATATAACTACAGTTGCAGTTGACCCCTAATCACACAATATTCCTGCAACAGGCTGGGTTCTCCCCACGAGGCAGGGTGGGATGACAGATGGAAGATAGGGTTGATGTACAAAATGGGTAAATTCATTGTAGAAACCTAGCTGCCTTTGCCTATGGATGCCAGCCACACCTTCCCCTCTGCTCTATCACTAATTACCTTACAGGTCTTTGACACCAGCAAGGTGTGAGGATATACTGGGGGTATGAAGAAGGAAGCCCAGTATGAGAGGCACGAGGAACCTGGATGGAAAACATGATGGAAAATTTCGGAGGGAGAAAAACATAGCAAGAAAATGCGCTGTGAGGAGACGCTGCCAAGGTCAGAGCTGGATGGACAGAGCTCGAGAGTACGGTAAGATGCCATCAGGCATGCTGTGCACCATGGGCCAGGACACAGTCAACAAAACACAGGGACCCTCTAAAGGGACAAACTTCTCCCTCCTGTGTGTGCCACAGGAAGAGGAGGTGAGAGGAAACAGCTCTGCTGCCAGCTTTTGCTCACCCCCTGCTCTCACCAGTCACCACACTTGGCAGCCTTTGGTCATGAAAGACCATTTTGGTGACTGGGAACACTCTCTGGAGGGATGACAGATGACTGAGCACAGATCCATCAGCCAAGTCTATGTGTGCATAGACTCCTTAATTTGGGGAAGTGCCCTGAGGGTAGCTTTCCCTGAGCCGGCTGTAATGAGGTGATCTTGAGAAGTAGAGATCCTAACTTAGCATCCAGCAACTGATAGAAGTTATAAAACAAGACAGAACTTATAAACAACGTAAGTAAGCATGACAAAATGTATTTGAATAACCAGACAGCAGTAGATAGGAAAGATAAGCAATAAATGAATCAGAGAAGACTGAGTCCATCATGTAATAAAAAGATTGTGAGGAAGTTCAGAAGTAACACACTCTGAAATTGTTAACAGAAATTTTTCTCTTTGTAAGAATAACTATTAACCAAGAAAGCTCACTCACACAAGACAGTGCTTGAGGCTAAGACCATAGCAGGACCTTTAAAAAGATGAATCCATGATATAATGCAAATATCCATCATAAAAGCACCGAGTGTTTTTACCTTGGCTTCTTTAAGAAATGGAGCTTATGTGTTCATGTCACTTGTCTGCACATATCAACAGAGACGTGCACACACTCCTCTCCTCTCACCAGTAACTTGGGAATCTTGTTGTCCAATTTGAGCTACATTTAACAGGTAGAGGGATATTAAGAGTTTGACAAGTTTTGTGAAAGCCTGTGGCCACATAATAGAGTTCCCACCAACTCAAAAACTGGAGCAGCATCTAACACATTCCTAAAACATTAGAGAATACGCCAGAACAGCTTCAAGCCATAAATCGATATGGGTTTGAAGCTTACATTGGGCAGGAAGTATGTCTTTTGACAAAACCAGTGATGTGAATCCTTTTCCTTCAGTGCCGAATCTAACTACTGACTGATGGTTATGTCTCTTAAATGTAAATACATCCATTACTGGTCTTATGGCACTGGCCAGAGTCAGGGCAGAGATGGGATCCCAGTCTAGATAGACTGCTGCTCTGACTGTTTATAGTACCGTCTCTGTAATTTTCTTACAAGGATCTCTGGTTTAATGGGATTAGCTTTCTTAACTTTATTCCATTTTCACCTTTCCATAGAAGCCATTTCAGTACAACTTGACAACTGCTCCCTTTTGCTGACTTGACCTTTAAGATGTTCATGTGAACAACCTCTAACCCAGCTCCATGCTGGAAGCTTAGCAGCCCCAGGTACTGGCCTTGTTTGAAGAAATGTTCCTGAAAGTATTGTAGCACTGATTTTATAACTTTCAGGAAGCCCCGAATTGCCTTTGCCACAAATAAAGACAGAAATTGTCAAATGAGGATGTCTAAAGTTGCATGGCAAGCTCTTTATTCAGCTAAATAAAAGTAACCTATTTTCAGATACAGCCAGCACAAACAACTAGTGCTGAAATCAGTAAGAATTGTGTATCCTCAGCAGTTCTAAAAAACAGGCTTTGAGGAGAGGATCTGGACAGGATTTAGGGAAATCAACTCTGGAAACCAAGTTTGTTCATTTGGACAATGCTTTTCAGATGTCATTGTTCACTTGCTTTGTTTTCTAAAAGCATGTTTCTATTTCTATGTTTGGGAAGGGAAGATTAAATATGCAAGCCCCTGAAACAGACCCAGCAACAGCTTAAATGAGGGAGATTCACCCTTCAGGCAATGCCTGGCCCAGCCCCAGCTCTGCCACGCTGCTGCCTCTGAGCTCGGCACAGCACAGCACCGTCTGCACCCCTCTCCCTTTCCCCAGGACAGTGCTGGCACTACGCAGTCAGCTTTTACACCATCCTGCCCCTTGTCTTAATGATCACATGAAGCACCACAGAGAAAGGCCATCACCTTCAAGTCCCAGAAACCTCAAGGGTGAGGCAGACACAGGGGCCGCTCCAGGGGAGTATCTATAGGAAATAACGGATGTACTTAGGGATAGAGAAAAGGGAAGGAGAAAGAAAGATGGAAAATGTACTATCTGTAATCTGGTTATTCTTCTGTGAAGGGGGAGCATTCCAGAATTTTACAGATCACAATTCAGCCCTTAGGGGTTGAAAATAGGGACAGAGGAAAAAAATAAAAAACGACTTAATGATTTATTAGCTTCTGTTAAGTCTTTCCATATCTGCCACAATCACACAAAAAGAGTGACTAACTTAAAAATCTTAAATAAAGCAAGGCAATGTAAGCAAATAAAATGAAGCAGTGTATGAGAAGGAAATTATTTGGTTCCCTGTAAAATGTTGCTTTTCCTGTAGTGATTTTGACAATACTTAGGGATGGCTCAGGCAATTACAACTTGGCCTGCTTTCAGAATGTATTCTGTCCCCACAAGACTTAGGCAAACAGCTCACTATCTAGCTAGGTTTTATAAAATTATGAGCATTTTAGCAGTGTAAAACTCACCTAATACACAAACAAATCTATCAATCATTTAGTTCCTGAGAAACTGCTTGGCACATTACTGCTGAAGAATCTTCCCCAAGAGCTTTTGAAACAATCAAAAGCATGCAAAATAATAATGTAGAGAACACAAAAATTTCAGTGTTTTAGACTGAAATAGAACAAATACCATTTCATTTGTAATAGTTCCTAAAGCCTTTGCCTTTCTAACTTTCTAATGTTCTCCCTTGTCCTATTCTGTTGTTCCTGTAAAACAACAACAAAAAATCAATATATATATCCTTATAATCATGATATATATATATGAAAGGCCTTCTAATGAGTTCATGGAATTGATTACAAAGAAATGACATATTTGGCACTTGACCTGTCTAAATAATGTATAGCTGGGTTTTTTTGAAGTGTTTGCAGAGAATTTTTTTTTCTGATAATGCTTGGAGGAAGCACAGACCATGTGTTCTTAGAAAACTGACATACTTGTGTTTGTCAAGATCATCAGTACCAGAAATGAGCGATATTCTCACAGGAGATTTATCCTACACTGAAAATCATGCATTTAAACATGTGTGATGTGCATCAAACATATGTTCTCCCAGAAAGGTATTTCACTGATAGATGGTCACAGAGCATGTAAAGGCAGCTGTTTCATGCAATCCTTCCCGTACAGTCAGTAATATTCTTAGATTACAGAAAAGGGAATAAAAATATATGACAGATAGCTTGGGACTTCTCACATACCGCTTACAATTATTCTCTACGGTAACTAAAATAATCATTCTTATTTAAAAATAAGGACATCTTTAAAGCGTTCACTTACTCTGCTAAAGCTGTCGTGTTGAAGGAATTATCCTGAATGCTGAAACAGAAACAAGAAAACATCAGATAAGTCAGCAAGGCAGGCAGGCTCCCTGTATTCTTCTCAGTTGTAGGAACACATGCACAAACATGGTATCGCAAGGCAAGTCTCTGTGTGTTAGCTCTACATGCACGACTGTACCTTCGGCTGCTCTGCACATGCTCATAATCAAGGAACCATAGGGATTAGTCCTACAACACTCACAGAGCCCATCCAGCAGTGCTTTGAATTAATACAGGGATGCAGGTACTCCGTGCCTCGCGTCTCAGAAAGGAATCATATTCTTTTATAACTGTAACAGTGCTGCTAATAAAGGCTTAGGTTTACAAATAAGTATATGGCATTCCATCCTTTAAACATCTGCTCTATGTAATTGGCTCATCAAACACAGTTGTTTTTATTACTTAAATAGGGTTGCTCAGCTAAGATCTCTGGAGGTTTTTTCTTCTTGTTTAGTGGTCTCTTACACACTCAGCTCATGGCCAAACCCCAGGGGATGCTATGAAAAAATAATCTGGCAGAAACAACAGTTCAAGTAGCAAAAGGTTATTTAAGCTAACAGCAAGCAACAGATGAAACCGTTCCTATGAAAGGAATAGGCTGCTGTGCTCGTGCAACAAAATGTTTCACACCTGATGTAATGCATTCAGTAAGGGTCAACTCAGGATACCATAAACTGCTGTTTTTGAGGCAGTGGTGGAATTCCCCCTCGAACAACACCTCTCAAATCCAGTAAATACACTGTTGGATCACCCTGAAATCTTATAGCAGCAGAAAAAAAAAACCAAACAAACAAAACAAAAACCACCTCACTGCTACATACCAGAGCTGGGATTTTTTTTTTGTTTGGGTTGGGGAGAAGACAATGCAGACAACAGCACCTTATGAGCACTCTCGATTGTGACAATGGCACCTCGCAGGTGACGGCACCAAGTGGAGCAGGGATACAGAGAGGTGCGGCATCCTCCTCCCCGCAGCAGCTTGTGCCGCTGCATGGCCTTGACACACATTCCCCAAGCAGCAGCAGCCTCCAGGAGCCACAGCCGTGACAATTTCTCTTCTCTCACCAACAGCACTAACAACTTATCTTATCTTCAACTCTTCCCAACCTTCCTACCTGCTTGCACACACAGTTTCGCTCTTTTCTTTCCCATATTTGTATATATGTCGATTTATATAATGGCAAAAAATCACCTGGGGGTCAGAATATCACAGCTAGCCTAGAGGGACTTCTGCCCTACGGTGTAGTAGGTTTTGTGAGAGAAGGGTGAACAGAAAAGCTAAGTATAACGGTTAGCATTTAAATCTTGCCTTAGACCTAAAATGTAAAAATTTTCTCCTCCTGTCTCCAGTATCTTGGGTCTGATGGTACAAATATAAATTTCTTTATCGTTTTTCTATTTGCAGGAGAGCACCTGAAAAAAGCAAGGTACACTTATAGCTGTCGTGGCAATCAAATACTCAATTTACATATTCAAGAAGTACAAGGCCATATAAAAAATCTGATCTTATTTTTAATAAATATATTTCAGAATGCCTAAGTGCTTTAGCTCTTGATTTTTAATGGTCAGACTAGTTTACAGCTAGCCTTTTAAGCGTGTAATGGAGGAATCACAACTTTTTATCACAAAATCACATTGATAAGCATCACAGCTTGGTCATGAGCTTAAAGAGAGACTGAGTATTTACCCCACTCCCCTACATATACCCACACAACAAGGGGAGCAAACACAGAATGCTCCTGTAAACATAACTTCTCCATTTCTACGTGCAAAAGTTAAGGTGAAGTTTTCTGCTAATTCATGCCTTGTGCAAACATACCACAGGGCTTTGCTGCCATTACTAGTAACAGAACATGACTAATCAGTTTGTGAAACAGGGATGCTTTAGAGTGAGAACAAGTTGAAAATGTCATCACTTTTCCATTGTTTATCTGAACTTCAGTGCTATACAGCTGTTGCTAAATCTCTTCTAGGCAAGCACTTTACATTTACTTCAGGTCACTCTTTTTAAAGATGGTGCTTGACCAGTTTTACTGGATAGTCTCTTCTTACAGGGTTGTGAAATCAATCCACAAAAAACAATCCACAAAAACCAGGATAGTATTAATAAATACATAAAAGTAAAGGCCAAGTAAAGCCAGGATCCTGTTTCAGCGCTAATCTCCCAATCACATAGATGAAGCCATCCTACTCCTGGGGGAACCCAAAGGAGGAACTACAACGGACTCACAATAACTTCTTTTCCTCACAGAAGGAACACATTTCTCTTTAGGGGCAAAAGCTAATCTCACTAACGATGCTGGCTTGGGCCTATTGGCTGAGTCTGCTTCCTATCACATGCTCTGGGTGAGACTAGAGCAGGCAAAGAGCCCTTGGCCTTACCCTGCCTTACAAGGCAGAGCCAAAGATGGTTGAACCTGCGTCTCTGTTTCCCTCTAAGTCCCAGGCACAGGGAAAACATAATACTGCTGTTACCTCCTCCTTTTCAACAATGACATTAAAGTCAATTAAGCCTGTAATGCTATAAAACATCACTCTTCAAAATACTGAAATTGTCAGTGACAGATGTATTTCATTGCCACATTCAGACGACGTCAGATCTCTCATCATCCTAAAGTCCCAATGAAAATAATGCTATACCTATAAGTGAAGTAAGCTTTGGACTTCGCCACTGAGTAGCAGATTTACTTCTAAGGACTTCATGACTTTGAAGTAATTAGAATCAATATTTCTGAAATTATGAAAAGAAAAGCTTTTACATCAGTTTTTCCTTATTTATGCCGAACAGCTTAAGTGATTAATATTTTTGCAGTATCGTATCTATGGAAAGATACTTTCTCTGTTAAAAAGCTCCCCAATTTATACAGTTTTTTTCTCATCCTCTTTTGCCAGATGTTGATCAAGGCAACATAAATATCACATGCCACATTCTCAGCTGACAACAAAAATGTTGGAGAACTCCAAACCAAACATTTAACCTATATTTTGGAGATACCAGGATTCAGAAATACGTTGCTATTCACTTCTGAAAAATTGACTGATATATTGCCTATTTGTGGCTGACAAATAGATTGGCATTGAAATTCCATTTTTTATTTGGTTTGTATGATCAAGAGAATTACTGTTAGGTCAGAAGGAAGACTGAAACAGGAATCACTTAGCCTCCATCTCAATTTTGCACATAATAGAGACTCATACTCAATATAAATGATAAGTTCATAAGCTCAGACAGCATTAGTTGGTACTATAAACATGTAATAGGCAGTGAAGGCTTTACAAAGACAGTATGGTCTAGCTGCAGAAGACGGCAAAAGAAGAGAGGTAGCGAGACAGAAGTTGTCAGAAGTGGTTCTGGCCTCAGGAGAACAGAAGAAAGCGCAACAATCAAGATCGAAAGGCCAGAAAAAAAGGAGGAATAGTGAAGCTTGCCAAGCTACAGTCGTCTAAATGGTCACAAACACAAATACTCACATGCACACACAAACAACTCTCTGTAGACTTTGTGGCAGCTTGGTTTCACCTGCAGAACAGAACCTTTGCCTCCATTTCCATTAGTTGCTCATGTCAGTAAATGACTCCATTCTCTTAAGGGCATTTCTGACTCGGGTAAATGATGAGGCCTTTCAGCCTTAACTACAGAATAATGAATTTGTATTGGGAAATAAACTGTATGTTTAGAGGGAGAATTACATATTTACATGAGTATCTGAATACCCTGAACTCTCTAAGGTTCTGGGAAAGTTAGTATTTCTGCATTTAATATCTACTATCTAATGACAAATTCAGTGCAATCCTATAGGGTGTGATTAGCATTTATTACAAGACTATTTTCTTTATTATTATTTGTGATTCCAGAGAGTCCAAAGTGCTCATGCAGAAATTGCTGCATCAGAGGCAATTACATATTGTGCTATGGCTAGGCCATACAAGGGAGCTGCACCAGACACTGTGGAGGGACACAAGAGATGCCGTACGACACGCTGTGTGTGATGAGGAGCCCAAGGTGACTCCCTCCAGCTCTGGGAAGATGTTACTCATGTTCCACTACCCAAATAAAGGGAAAGTTGGAATGATTTCCCTCCTACTGCCTCTCTGCATGAAGTCAAGACATCCCTGCCAGAACCAGCTGAGCTCAGAGACTCATAAAAATATTGAGCAAATTTGTTTGCCTTGGAGTACATGTGTTCCTGCCAAGTAGCAGTACCCTGAGGTGCTCCAACAGTCCTTTGTCTCCCTCTCAAATTGTACCAACACAGAGACACACTCATACACCTGTATGCACACACAGCATATGCTGTCACAGATGTACTGAGTCTGGCTGTGATGGAGTTAATTTTCCCCACAGCAGCCCTCATAGTCCTGTGCGTTGTACTGCTAGCTACGAAGGTGTTGATAATACAATGGTGTTTTGGCTACTGCTGAGCAGTGCTGTCTCTCCAACATCCTCCCCTCACCAGTAGGCTGTGGGTGGGCAAGATCTTGGGAGGGGGCACAGCTGACCCAAACTGGCCAAAGGGACATTCCATACCATATGATGTCAGCTCAGCAATAAAAGCTAAGAGAAAGGAGGTGGAAGCAGGCGCCATTCGTTTTTTACGTTTGTCTTCTGGAGCAACTGCTAGGTGTACTGAACCCCTGCTTCCCGAGAAGTGGCTGGACATCACCTGCTGATGGGGAGTAAAGAATAAATCTTTTGTTTTCCTTTGCTTCAGCATGCAAACGCTGCTTTTGCTTTATTAAACTGTCTTTATCTTGACCCACTTGTTTTTTCCATCTTATTTTCTCCCTGTCCTGTTCTGCTGAGGAGGCCAGTGATAGAGTGGCTTGGTGGCACCTGGCATCCAGCCAGGGTCAACCCACCACACTGGACAAAATACATTCAATTCCGCCAAGAAGCGGATTAAATATGCTTGTTTGTGAGGTCACACTACTACTTCTGGGGTCACGCTTATGACAGAACACTCTTATTTAAGCAGAAAAACTGAGGGACTCTGCAGTAACTCATCTCTGCCTTCAGCAAG